AATAAAGCATGGGTTGAGCTTCAGGCATTATTAGAGTTCAGCTATTCTTATCTTTAATTGAACACGAGTCAACACGAATGTTTGGCGATGATGATTGTCAGAAACACGAGCACTGGGTTCGGGCTCATGACAACCGAGTACGTCACGGTGTCGCGTTACTCGCAGTGAGAAGTCGTGATTGCATGTGACGTCAGGGTGTCAACAACGCTAATATACCAGTATTTCTTTGCAACTCAAGAAGATAGGGCGAGGGAAAAGTTTGCCGGGGAGAAAAAAGCATACGAAACGTTGGAGAAGAGAGGGGGAAATTGACGTTCTGAATGTAAGTCGACTTGACGCGGTGAGTCATGCGACCACGCGACGGGACCGCGTGACGTGACATTATTTGACAGCATGTCTTGAAACCATGACGTCACGTGACCACGTGGCACACGATTAACCGTACTGCCAATACAAAAGCGCCACGAAAACCCGCAATTTCTTATACATTGCAGTTCGGTATATGACAATTTGATCACTACATAGAAATGACAGCTGCCAATTTTTACTTCTCAAACACTCACTTTGTAATAAAAAAAATATTACCGTGAACCGTTTTGAACCGGTTACCGTTATATTTTTTCCGGTTCAGTTTCGGTTGAGTTCCAAGATGGAGGCAAAGATTTCGGTTCGGTTCAGTTCCGGTTCGGCTAAAAATAACGGTTCTGCTCCGGTTTTCGGTTCGGTTCGGTTCGGTTCGACACTCTGCTACAATGCTTTCGTATTCCCACACGTAAGCCGTCTTGTGCCGAATTTCCTTTTGTATTCTTTTGCCGCAGCCCCTCAGACAGATCTCTGGAAATAAGGATTAATATTATTCTTATTAACTCACGCACACTTGTCGTAATATTCATTTTAATTTTTAGGATTTTTAGAATTTTGGATGATCCAGACTGCCAAACGGTCTGGATCATCAAGTCAAGTTTGGGGGTTTTACGTGCCAAACGAACGACGGGCATGTGGCACGCCCCAGCGGAGGACTGAGGATTAATTTCGACCACCTGCGGATATTTTGGCGTGCAACCGAAAGCTCGGTTACACGGCGCCTCCTCCGCAATAAGCGGTCTGGATCATCCAAATTTCAGTCTGTCTTCACGTTCCTATGACCGTCTGCATGTTCACGTTGAAAGGTCAAAACACCGTAGACTCTTTTTTTCTTTTCAAATGGCAACGAACCGTAGACCACATGAAGGTATATGCACGCCTCTAAAGACTTACAAACTTAATGGAAGTTCAGGTTCAATTGACTCAATGTAAACAGTAAATCCAAGGTGGTGTTAAACATTCTAACCGGTAGAAAACGCCGCCTTGTTATGTCTAATTTACATGATCAGCTTGTGCTTGAAATGCTCAGTTTTGACATCGAGCACCGCAGTTTCCGTCTACAATTATTTTGCAGCACGAGGGACCTCGCAACTGATAATAGCGAGCAGAATTTCATTAGGAATCTTTAGGCCATTCACAAAGCTATGCGATGGTTACGGGAACCAGCTGGAGCTCGAGTGGCTGGCCGCTCTGCAGAGCCCGGTCACCCTCTTCCTCTTAAGGTGTATCCACACGACGGACCGGGCCGCGGACCGATTGATCACGTGATGCGCGGCCCGCGGGCCGCCCGGCTGCCAAGAGCATCCACATGATGGACCAAAAGAGCAGACGACAGCGTACGGGCCGGTCTCACCCTCGACCTCACAGCTCCGCCAAACGCATGCAGCGAGCTGCTTTGAGGCTATTTGTAAGGAGCCAAAATGGAGGTTGAACGAAAGAGACGTTTGGCCGCGGTGGCCCTGGCGTTGACTATTGAGGACGAGGAGGACTTAAGTGAACCGAAAGGGGCATGCATCTATTGTCCCACAGAGCGGGGGATCGCTTCACGAGCGCGATAAAGTAAAAACTTGCATCGTCGCACCATGCCGTCATCGTCGTACAACAAAAGGTTCGTGTTCTTCGTCTTCAACAGTTGGCGCCAAAAGAACACGACTTTGGATTTGGATTCCAATCTAAACAACTAAAGTCAGCTTGTTGCCAGACTTAGCACTTCAATTATACTAAAAACGTCGCGGTCCGCCGCCAAGGTACGGGCGAGAAAAGTCGCTTGGCATTTCTCACAAGCGCGGGCCGCGGACCACCGGCGGACCTCGAAAACCGGTGACGTAAGATCACGTGATGCGCGGCCCGCGGACCAAAACAGCAATTTAGTCCGTCGTGTGGATACACCTTAAGGTGTATCCACACGACGGACCAAATCGCTGTTTTGGTCCGCGGGCCGCGCATCACGTGATCCTACGTCACCGGTTTTCGAGGTCCGCCGGTGAGTCATGGAGAGGGCTTCTTTGTGGGGTGGCGTTCTTTGAAATTATGGCGCGCGCCAGCCAATGAGAATCTGTCCATCAATTCGCTGTTACAGACTACAGGCTTTGCTAGATGGGAAAGGGACATTTAGGTGCCGTTTGGCGCCGCTTCAAAAGCTGATAACACCAGTTGGCTTCATGGGACAGTTAATGTAAAAAACGCAAAAAAAAAGGCAGGCCAAAGCATTGGCGTTCCCTAGCCTTTCCTTTCAGAAGGTATTTGCGGATAGCAAACCTCCGGTTTCCAAAGAACGAATCTTGTTTATTTATTGCGAATAAACGTATGGTTTGACTAATAAACTTGAGGAACATCATTGAAAACAACTGTATAAGTGAATATTCGAAAAGGTTTAACCGTGTGCTGCGCTGAAGCTACCACTCAAATAACGGGTGCAAGGCGGGAGGTTCGGAAACGCACAAGAAACAAAACAAACACGCGCGAGGGTGTCGAATTTGGACGCATTTGTGTGACGAAGTGACGAGGCGCCGGAGTGCCTCTCGTGCCAGCTCCAGGCCTTTGTTTTACAACAGTTACTGCTGCAGACTCGGGTGACCACCTTCCTGCTAGCGAAATGCGGGACATGGGAAGGGGGGGGGGGGGTAGAGGAAATTTATTAACACACACACCACAAACCGAGACTTTGTTAATACATTTAACATCATGTGCTGTTTATAAGCTGCTAATCGTATTGCAGCAATTAAGCTCAATTAATCTTTACTAAAAGTAATATATATCTTATGGCAAATGTGTTCATAAATGTGTCGAAGTTGAAAACATAAAAATCGACTTGGGCAGAACTCAATGCATCACATAAAAATAAGAAACATTAAGTCTCTTTCGGGCTATTGTTTCCTGTCAAGGCTTACTTTTATCAACATAGTCATACACAAAGTTTTCACATTTGTTCTTTTTCGACCGTTGCGAGTTGCATGCTTTTTGCCATGTGTGGCTGTGTTCCCAAAAGAAAGATCCACAGCAACCCTTTTGCATTGAGAGCGGTTTGAAATTAATTACAATATTTTATATTAAAACTTTTGGCAAGCAATCTTTCTTAGAATATTTTGCCACCAAGGGGAGAGGCACAACGGAGCATGTTCGCCGGTTCCCCTTCAAAAACGACGGTCGCTGCCCGCAAAGTTTGGATAGAAAAGGGTGTACCATTGCGATTCACACGATTACCAGCGACCTCCGGGCTTCCCCGTGCCCCATTGTTCGGCAGCGCCATAAGTTGCAGAGTGAATTTTACTACAGTATAAAATGCTGGACATTTTGAAGATTTGGGAATTTCTTGCGGGACGCGGGACACAAGCCTTCAATGCGGGACAGTCCCGCAAGTCGCGGGACGGGTGGTCACCCTACTGCAGACGCCAGCACGTGCGGCGCCTGCACTAAAATAGCCCAATACGCATGTATAATACGTGTTGACGTTGCAGGCTGCTAGTATAGGGCACGCATTTACGCATATTGGCGTCGTGCGCGACCGAAAGCGTCGCTGTGGTCGGCCTTCCACGATTGGCCAAACGCTGACTATGACGTCAGAAAAGGATTTATCATTGACGGAAATAAGAGGAATGAAAGAACTTCAATTTTGACGGTGTTGGCAGTATTCCTTTGAGAGCGCAATGATCTCAAGCTTCCACCCTGCTATTTACAAACACCATCGAACTTGTTGTTTGCAAGGTAATGACGTCACAAGGGGGAACCGTAGGAGGGCGCCACTAATACATCTCGCCGCTAATAGTGAAGGCTGTGAAGTGCACAGAGTGAATCAGGTTGACAAAACACTAAAAGGATGCTAATATATGCCAAATTACACAATCGAAACAGACGACCAGAACAAAGCATGGAGCTTTGGAAGGAAGAACACGTACTGGATTTGTAACAAACTGTGCATGAATAATAATTGATAGCTTGTATTGATAGCTTGCATTCATTGATTGATAGGTTGTATTTACATTTGATAGCTTGCATTGACATAATATGCTGTACAGCATTGACGCGGAACTCAATTGTTACTAATTTAAACATCGCTCAATAAAAAGAAAAAAAAAACTTTTTAATGAAATAAATGTGATAAAGCTACATAGTACTTGTTACTAGTAAAGAAAGAAAGAAAGTACGCTGATTTATGTTCTTCCCTAATTATCGCATACGTTTTCCCATAGGGGTACACAGGAGGACTGGGAAAGGAGAGTGCTTGCTGTCTGCTTCAATTTGCAACCGGAAGTCCCGAAGACACTAGCGGGAGCTGATGCTCTAGTGTTTATTATAACAACTCTATGGGGTGTGTGATTGGTGGTTCGAATCTAATAGCGTAGTGTCCTCCCTAGCATCAACAGAGCAAAAAGAGCCGGTTGCATTGGCTTTCCTTAGCACCGCAAACGCTATGAATGATGTCGTGCTGTACAGGCGGAACAGCGCACCCGCAAAACATTTACTGAAGTCCGCGCACACAAAAGAAAGACACACGCAGCGCTGACTAACAACTCTTTGGTAGGGGGTATCGGTGGCGGAGAAAGAAGAAGACGCCGTTCGAAACGGACGTGTTTTCAATGCTCTCCAGTGAAAACGCACCGGTCACAGGCCGGGGAACTGCTGAGGCTTCGGCCAGTACCACCGAAATGACGACTGAAGAGTACCGGACCGTACTTCCCCGTCTACCGACAGGTAATTTGAGTCTTAATTCTGTCTTTCTACACGGAGATCTCGCCGTGCGGCCATACCGAGCAACAGACTTCCGAGACGCTTTGCGGGACGTGGTTGACAGCCACGATATCATCGGAATCGGCCAATTCCAGATGAGTCACGTCTGGATGGTGACCTGTGCAAGCGCTTTGGCCAAGGCCAAGCTTGTGACCAAAGCAGAGCTCCGCGTAAAGGGGCGCCGATGCCTAATCATCGACCCGGACACCAGAGACGTCAAACTGAAACTTCTTTGGCTACCAGTTCATATGGACAACCAGCGTATCGAAGAAGCACTGGCGCCTTTTGGCACGGTGCGTTCGATTGTTAGAGAAAAATGGCGCTGCGCCGGAATGGAGCAGATGGAGACGCTAAACAAAGAAGTGACGTTGACCCTTCACGAGGGAATGAACGCGAGCCAGATACCGCACCAGCTCACAGTGTTCGGCTGTCGAAGCTTGGTGCTCGTGCCTGGCCGCCCTCCACTGTGTCTACGATGCTACCCAATCGGTCACATTCGTCGCGAGTGTAGGACCCCAAGATGCGGTGAATGCCGACGTTATGGTCATCCAACAAGTGAGTGCGTCACCACCTATGCGGACAAGCTCCGACAAGCAAGAAGCCCAGCTGAAGATGTCGTTTTAGAACACCTAATGGACATAAGCGAAGTGGTCGATGCAACAGAAGAAGTCATCCCTTCCAGCACCACTTCAGGGGTACAGCTGACGGCCCCGCTGCACCCACCACCTGACGTCAACCCTGAGTCGGCGACGATCACCGCTGAATCTGAAAAGCCTGAATCGTTTTTGCAAGACAGCGAATTCCCTCCTTTAAGCACGACGTCAACGGTTGCTTCACAGGATTCATTACATCGACGAGAGCGCCCGACCACGTCCAGTGGAACATCTGTCAAATGACCCGCCCCAACATCGGAAAAATCGTCTCAGTCGTCTACCACGGATGTCGCGATCGGCCACGACAGCGACGAGAGAGGCGACGCCAAACGCAGGCCAGCTGAGGTGTGTGAGCACCATTACAGTAAGGCCACACGGCCTGCTGACGTAGTGAAGGACGGTGATGAACTACCCCCTTAGCTAACACCTCCCTGGCATTTCCTCCCCTGAGCTTCGCTACCATCAACGTCAGAGGACTGTGTTCGCGTCCACGTCAGTCCCAACTGTATAGGGTCCTCTCAAAGGAACAGATTGACTTTGTTGCCGTCCAGGAGACAAATATATCGTCCGACGAGGACACAGCTCGTGCATTGGACCCTTTCCTCTCAAGTTATGAGGTATGTGTGAGCCACGCGGATGGCTTGTTGGGAGGGTGCCTTTTATTCTTAAAGAAGAGACTAGAATACTCGTCATTTTCACATGCTGTGGATGATAAGGGCAGGTTCATATGCTGTGATTTTTTCTTAAATGGTATTTCCTGGCGTTTAATTTGCATTTATGCCTACAATGATGTTCGACAAAGACGTTTGTTTTTTGAAAATCTCGCCCCTTTTCTTGACACCGACAGGCAAGTTGTTCTGTTTGGTGATTTCAATTGTGTCTGTAATGTCAGTGATAGATCAGTGCCTCCTACAAGACCTGACAGCAGTGCTGACATACTAAACAACCTCACATACGACTTCCACCTATTTGATGTTGGTGCTTCTCAGGTTACTGCTAGTCGATTCACTCACATTGATGCTGCATGTAACGCGAGGCTTGACCGAGTTTACGTTTCAAGCCAACTTTTTTCGCATGTGGCTACTTATGAAGTAAAACCCATGTCCTTTTCTGATCATTGCCTTGTAAAGGTTCGTATTGGGGCAGACGTACGTAATAGGTCACGTCCAAAATGGGAATTATGGAAATTGAACACAAGGCTTCTTGGCAGTGATGATTTTCAAAAACGTGTTCGTGAATGTTTCAACAATATGTCAACGAACGAAAAATTCGGCATTTTCGCCCAATGGGACTCATTTAAACAAGAGGTCAAAAATGAAGCGATTGAATTTGCTTGTATTGCGTCTTTTCACGCAAAGAAAGACGAAACTGCCCTTTTGCGAAACCTAAATAGCCTTCACGAATTGGAATGTGAAAAATCTGGTGAGTTTCAGGAAGAAATCATTCTTACCAAAAGTCAGCTGCAGCGCTATGAGCAAAATCGCTATAATGGTGCACTGGTACGTTCTAGGTGTAGGCGTTTCTTATCATCTGAGACACCCTCGCGGCGTGCCATTGATGATGAAAGACGCCATGGGCTTTCCAAAAAAATCAAACTTTTGGACTGCAACGGAGCCCTCTCAACCAGCGATGTTGATATAATGCGCACATTCGAATCCCACTACAAAAGCCTATTCCAGAAAACGCCATCTTCCAACAGTCAAATGACACACACTTTAGTTTCCATGTTGCCTAAAGTAAGTGAGATCCAACGCGAACTACTTAGTGGACCAGTAACGCTGGAGGACATTCGGAGTGCGATAGATGAGTTACCTAACTCTAAAACGCCAGGGCCGGATGGACTCCCAGCTGAGTTTTACAAGGAGCATAAGGAACTGCTGTGCCCTTTCTTACACAAAGTATTTCTTGAAGCTTACGATAGTGAACGCTTACCACCATCCTTTTATAGCAGCCATACGGTATTAATCCCCAAAAGTAAGGATACAGATAAACTTATACACGTAGAAGGATATCGCCCTATTACTCTCTGCAATGTGGACTATAAGATGCTAAGATTCTCACAAAACGGCTTCAGTTCGTCGCTTCTAGTGTTGTTGGCGACCATCAGACATGTGGAATTAAGGGGCGAAGCATACAGACCAATATACACGTCGCACGTTCGGTCATAGAGAGCAGCACTCGACATAACAACCAGGTCGCCATAGTCCAAGTAGACTTGGCGAAAGCCTTCGACCGCGTATCTCATGACTTCCTTTTCGCCATTCTTAGACACATAAACCCGGGAACAACGTTGTTGAAAGGAATCGAACTATGCTACCGAAGCTGTGCTACCCGTCTCATTGTTAATGGTTCACTCTCGACTCCTATAAATTTAGAATCGTCTGTTAAACAAGGGTGTCCTTTATCCCCTCTTCTGTTTGCTCTTTACTTGGAACCTCTTTGCTTGAGTGTACTTTCCAACCCTACAGTGGACGGTTATCATTTTTATTCCGCGGAAGTAAAAGTGTTAGCCTACGCTGACGATATAGCGTTTTTCTGTGCTGATAAGAAAAGTGTCGATAATGTCTTTACCTTAACCCAGGCATTTTGTGAAGCATCGGGAGCGTTGGTAAATAACTCAAAATGCGTTGGCTTCTGGTGCGGCCAGTGGGCCAAAACACCTTCGAAGTATGCTGGTATTTCGTGGAGCTGTGTAGCTCCTCAATATTTAGGTGTACCGTTGAACTGCATTCGAAACAGTAGCCATTACTGGTCTGAGCGTGCGGCAAAAGATCAAACGTCAAGCCAATATAATGAAATCAAATCGGTGGTCAATCTTTGGACGCGCAAAAGCATGTAACATTTTCCTTGTAGCGAAACTCTGGTACGTGCTCCAGGTGATTTGCTGTGCGAGAGGCCAAATTAAAAAAATTCCATAGAGTTTTCGCGACTTTTCTCTGGGATTCCACTTGGGAACCCATGCAACGAGACAACCTTTTTCGCTCCATTGATACAGGGGGTCTTGGGCTGATTCACCTATTTTTAGAACAGGTGGTTGTTCGTTTTATGTTCTTCCGAACTGTATCCCATCATTTCCTGCGCACTTACGTGCAGACAGAACTTTCAGAAGCTTTACCATACTTGGTAGTCTCATCTGTGCCTGTAGGTACATTGCGTCCTTTCGGCTTCCTTGGAGAGGTAGTTAGCGCGATTGAATTTTTGAAAACCCGGTTTTCTCTCGAGTATTTATTTAAAGTTCCCCGAAAAACAATTTATGCTGATCTGATAGACGTTGTTTTTCCTGTACCTTTGTATCGAAGCGTACTTGGTAACGTTTTGGAACAAGATGTTTTTAAACGTGTGAAGAAAATGCGAGTGTCACCTTCTGCAAAAACCTTTTTTTTTAAACTTCACACTTCCACGCTACCTGTTAAGCCTTGGCTTCAAGAAAAAGGCATTTTCGTTCCGTGGTCAGTGAACTGCCGACTTTGTAACCAACCGGAAACTATAGAACATTGTTTTATTTTCTGCACTGATGCTTACCTCTTCTGGGATGTGTTACAAAGAACTGTGAAAAAAGATTTAAATATAAGTGCCTACACAATCCGTTTTCTACCTTTAAACCCGAATGACAGCTTCCCTTATGATCTGTTTACACTGATGGGTTTGCATAGTCTCTGGAAAACGAGAATGATTGACAGAAGTGCTGATGTTCCCCGGACAACAAAGTCGAATTTTATAGAAACTGTATCACATGTACGAAATGTATTTGACCATCTCGGTGAACGCCCAGACTGGTATGCTCTCTTAGATCGATGCATTAATCTTCCGGATTTTTAGACGTATTATTCAATACAGAATACTTTGTTGAGTTGTGAAACCGCGCTCGAACCTATGAGGGGAAGTAAACCCCCACGATGGTGTGACTTTAGATGAACGATATGTATGTCGACGCCTGTACATGACACCTAACGCCAACCTTTGTGTACCGTGATTTCAAGTGCCTTGTGTTTTCTGACCAAATCCCATGTAATAAATAAAAAAAAAAGTATCGGTGGCCGAGTGGTCTAGCCCACACCAGCTCGGAGCACGTGGAGCGAAAGCTCGCGCTGCAGAACCCAGGTATCCTGGGTTCAAGCCCCACCCCTGCCCGTTTCGATCTGGATGAGCATCGTACCGGCGTGCCGTCGTGTATCACTACTGTGTGATGCACGTTAAAGACCCCAGGCTAGCGGTTGTACCGCACTGGCTAAATTTCTCATCTACAGCTGGGAGACTCGTCGCCCCTGTGAGGCAGACCAAGTTCTAGGCTGTATAAACACACACACAACCCAATTTTAAACTCTTTGGTATATTTACACTTTCGTCTTCTTTTGGTATTATGGGCTAGGGCAATGGAGAATAATTTGGCCATGTTCATCAATATATATGATGCTAAACCGTAAACAAAAAACTAAAATTGAAATGCAGCTTAGTTTCATTTTTATTTTTTATCTTTATTTTAAGTATAGTATTATTTTTAATTTTAAGTTGCGAGCGGCCGGCCGCGCTAGCCGCATCGAGATGGCACGCTTTGCAGCAGCTGTGCATGGGCGCCGCCATAACTGACCTTCAGTTTTTGTTCCCCCTTATTACGTTTACTTCACTTCATTTTTACCATAGCAGGCCAGGTTATTGACATCTTAGACTTTATTCCGTCTTGCTCCCCAGCATTGGCCTTTTGTGGAGGCTCGTCCACACAAATTTCAGTGGCTCGGTATCTCGGTAAAACAAGAGAAGGTCAGCAATGGCGGCTGTATTCTGGCGCGTGTGTAAAGCGTCTATAAGGAGTTTGGTTACAACACAATGACAGATCGACTGCAATCTGCAATGGGAGATTGACATTTTAACTCGTCTTTTTTGTATATAATTTTCATCGTCCCTCTTTCTATCTTTTTTCCCCAACAACCAGGTAGCGACTTGCCCATTAACTGAGGCCCACACATCTCCTGGTTTCCCCCTTTCTCGACACCTCATAATAACAAAAACAAAAAAAAACAAATGGGAGATGCCACCTGAGAGGCATCTTAGTACAAGAGGGCCCTGGATCAAGGTGTTTTTTATGGTATATTCGGCTGGTCAGGCTTTTCAGCCTCTTGGAGCGCTCTAAAAAGTCGGTGTGCATTCGTCTGGTCGACGCCTGGCGCTTCAAGTATATTCGGTGGTTCTTTCGGAACGCTCTCCAAGCTCTGACTCTCGCCGTCCTCTGAATCAGAGCGGTTTGA